TTTCCTTTGAAAAAATTTCCTTACCTAGTCCTCAATTTGAGTTCAGTCACACCCGAGAGTGTGCTCGAATCCCTCAAACCAAGGCTCTGATACCAACTTGAAACGTCCAATAATCATGACCAAAAATTTCTTTTAAAGACATTACTAACCCATAAATATTAAAACATTTCAATAATACTACAAGGGTTTTACGAAAAATCAGAGTATCTTTTGAAGACACTTGTTCATTTTATCAGAGTAAACATCCCAGGCTAAACTTCTTGGTGTGTGCTATGCAATCATCCTGAGCCCTTCCATCCGCTACCGGAAGTACCTGAAACCAAAAATGAAAACCGTAAGCACGAAGCTTAATGAGTTCCCCAACCTACCACATACCATACATATATGCTGATCCAAACATGATGTATACAATCGTGAGCAGAAAATCACATACTGGGCCCCCACCCATTGCATTGGGCCTCGCCCGCCATCGGACCCCGTCCGTCATCAGGCTCCGCCTGGCATCATGTCCCACCTAGCATCGAGCCCCGCTCGGTATACACACCTGTTTCCCTTAGGCCCTGCATGTCTCTGGGCCTCACCCGCCATACACATATGTACGATCAAATAACATACTAAAATATACATAAACATTGCCTAACCATACCCTGATCTAAGGTCTCGCCTAACTTGGGCCCCGCCCTTGGTCTGCTACTGAATTCGTCGAACCCCGTCCACACTTCTACTAGTAGTGAGATACGGGCCCTCGCCCAAACTCACATCCTTCCTACCACGGACCTCGCCCCTGCTCTGCTAATATCGAGATATGGAACCCCATCCATACTCAGCCAGTGATGAGATACGGGACCTCGCTCACACTGTGACAACCCGAAATTTTCATCTTGTCCAAATCCTACATTTCAATCTAGTCCAACTTACTTTTGCTAACTTTTAGCACAGTTTAGAGTCTATTAGAAAAAAATATGCTTTGAGAACACTCACAACTATATATTGTGGTGTATGTATTTATATTGAATGAGGAAGAGGAAGATACAAATTTATACAAGTGGAACAATACAATTTTTGTTTATATTATTTGAAAATAAAATGAAACAAAGTTTATGGTTGTTTTTTTCTATTCTACCGTGTGAAAATCCCCTATATTATATTCTTACACCAAATGAAATTCACAAAAAAATGATCCCCTTTGTACTATATTATATATATATATATATATATATATATATATATATATATATATATATATATATATATAGATTATTTTCACTATAGTATTTCATAGATATTATTAAATATATTGTTGATGTTGGTTGTATTATCATGTTGAACATTGAATTATGTGTTTGAATTTTGTGATGAAAATCTATTACGTATTATCTATTGTTTATCTATCTATTATCTATTATATTATTATCTATCTAATATCCATTATCTATTAAATTTTTATATATTATAAAAATATCATTTTGTTTTTATCACATTCATTTGAACCCTTAACTTTTCAATTATTTTCCAATTAATACATTAAATTCATTATTATTTTATATTTAATATTAATTCATTTGAAACCCTTAACTTTTCAATTTATTTTCTAATTAATACATTAGATTCATTATTATTCTATATTTAATATTAATTCTTTATTTTCAAGATATGTTTTTCTAAATAATCAAAATATTAAATATAGGACATATATTAAAAATGAAAATTTAACAAAAAATATATCAAAAATTACTTTTTATAATAATAATTTTTTCAAAAATGATAGATTTAAAACTATTTAAAATATTGCAATTTTCAATATAATGTTAAATATATAACCTACATCAAAAGTTTTGAAAGTTAATAAAAAATAATAAATGTTTAAATATAATGTTAAATCTAATAATACATCGAAATATCATTTTCACTTGTAACCTATAGATATATTCTATTAAAACGTCATATCATAAAATATGTCTATATAAACTGATTAACCGTTCATAATTAAAAATAACATTACATGGAAATGAGCAATTAGCGGCGACAAAAGTCGCCGGTAAAGGGTCGAGAAGTCGCCACTAAAGTGAATAGTGGCTACACGTTGCCGGTAAAGAGTCTGCTTTGTCGCTATTGATCAGATTGTCGTCACTAAAGAATAATGTCACTGTTAATGCACCTGTCGCTGCTAATACTTCTTGTCGCCGCTATTTTCATTTTTTTTATATTTGCAATTTTGGGTATAATTTATTCCAAATATTGTTATAATTAATTCTATACCAAAAATTACATAACAACATCAAATTAAATATCAAATACTGTTATAATTAATTTAATACCAAAATAAAACAACTAAAAGTTTGATAATTCTAATAAGTAGCAAAGTAAGTTTTACAATTCTAACAAATAGCAAAGTGTGACAAGTATAACCTAGAAATAAAGCTCCTCCCCACATATCAACATACATTTTATGATGCCAAACTATATTTCTATTTTTTAAAGTAAGCCAAATAACCAAAGTACATTGTTATTTGTTGCACTTGGGACAAATACCCAATTACCAAAGCTTTTAGCCAATAATCACCACAAAACCAAAATGACCAAATCAACATACATTTTATGATACCAAAGTACATCGCTATTTTAAAACTAAGACAAAAAACCAAAGTACATTGCTATTTGTTGCACTTGGGACAAAAAACTAATTACCAAAGCTTTTAGAAAATAATCACCACCAACAAAAATTACCAAATCAACATGCATTTATTGAAATTAAATAATCTTGTTTTACTTGTGATGATTGTGGTGGTGGTTGCGACGATTGTGAAATCGGTGGGAGAGCAGAAGGTGGGTCCTCAGCTCCATCTCCCCCATGTCCACGACCCACAACAGTAGCCATGGTATATACAAACAAAAGCTAAATTGACAACATTTCCTGAAAAATTATAAGATATATACATATACAATTTTTATTACAAATTCACATTACATAGAAATAAACATTTACATAGGAATAAACATTTCTATTTAAACTAAAACTTTCTAGTATTTTTATATAAGTTTTTAACCAATTTGATAACATTTCTATTTATTGCCTTAATGACTTTTACTTTTTTAATTTTCATATCGATAGTTTGAAATATTATGCAATGAACAACAAAGTAATAATAATAATAATAATAATAATAATAATAATAATGAAACAAGTGTAATGTATATTTTATAACACATGATCTATGCACCATATGATGTGATTATTATGGAAAGTTTATGCATGAGTAATATATTATTAGTTAATTAATGAAAGCTAAAATATATTGAAAAACTTACTAACCTTTTACCATATTGAAAAACTAATTTTTTAATTAAATGAAATAAACAAATGAAATCAAAGAGATGATATTTAGACCAACTACACATACTTTCACATATATAAATAATAACATCCTATTTATACATAATACACAAATTTCACATTCATATACCACATATACAACAAACATACACACATTCACATACACACGTAATAACATCCTATTTATACCAAATACACATAATTTCACATAATAATAACATACTTCTACCAAATACTCATATACAACATATGCATCAAACACACATACATTGATATATATATACCAAATTTACATAGATTCACATACAAATATCAATATACATACATATAACAATTTTCAAATAATCGAGACAACTACAAATATTTTGCAATTAATCTAAAATTTCACAATAAATAAAAGTAACTAGAACCTGTGGTGGCGGAAATCAATGAAAATGGTCCGGTGGTGGTGGTAGTTGCGGGTGGTGGTCGGGAACGTAGTAACACAATCATCAAAATTGAAATTCACAAAATTTTACAATTACCCACTCCAATAAGCTTAAAATCGATGTTACAAGAGAAAAGGGACCGAAAATTGACCTTGAAATAGCCTGGTGTTGCCAGAAAAGCTTGGTGTCATCGGAAAAGCTTGGTCCTCACCGGAAAATCTTTCTCCACTGGTGGTATCTTCTTTGTGGACAATTTCACACACCCAAAATTGATAATTCTCACTGGTATCCCACAATAATCGGCGAAGTAAGATGCAGATGAGAGAAGAGAAACAGGCGAAGGGAGTGAAACAGAAAGTGCAAAAGGAAAAAGATCGAGTTTTCTTGGGTTAACTGCGTCGATCTTTAGCGGCGACACTTTTACCGATGATAAATTGGGTTTTAGCAGTGACAACTATCAATAGCGGCGACTACCAGGAGAGAATTATTATCATGTCATTTTTTTATCTTTAGCGGTGACTGTTTTGGATCTTCAGCGGTGACAAAAATCACCGGTATTTCCTTTATGCGTTCCATGAGCACCCTAATCGTTGGATTAGAAACCACAATTAGACGATTCGTATAAATCAAATAATAAGTTTACTTTTACTTTTATGTTTACAATTCATAATTAAAAATAAGTACAAATCAAGAAATAAGTTTACTTTTATTTTCATGTACAACCTACCTACGGGATAACGGCTATTAAAAAGGTGCAATTTTAATATTTCTTTATGTTATATTTTATTTAAAATAATCAAAATGTTTTATAGATTATTAACTCAAAATTAATAACAATAATATAACCTTTTTAATAATAATAATATATTTGTCAATATTTTTACTTATATTTGCGCTATGTACGAACATTCGGGTTTAAAAATATAAGTCACGTAAAAAAGTAATATAAGTGGTAAAAAAGAAACATACAATTTGTATCAATCATTTTTATCGGGCAATGCCATATCCATCCAATATTTTATGTACATAAGACTTAATTATATATAAAAGAAAGAAAGAGCCTGTAACACTTATAAAAAAAAAAAAAAAAAAGAAAAGAGGCAAATTCCACTTGTAGCATTCTTTCATCAAACGTGTCATTAGAAGGCAATGATTTTATACGTGTCTCACATCACAAATAAGTGAATAACCATGAAACTCAATCCCTCACCACCTATGTAACCCTTTTCTCCACGTGCATGCCATGCAAACCTACCGATTCACTATATAAAGCAACCTCCTACTCCTTATCGATCATCACAACAAGTAGAAAAAAGATAAAAGAAACCACAAATACAATGGCAAAACTTGCGATCCTTGCACTCGCCTTCACGGCGATCGTAGCATTCGCTGAGGTCTCCGCCTACACAACAACCACCATTACCACGATAATGGAGGACGTGCCAAGTCGCTCACAGTCGCAGTCACAAGGGCAATGTCGCCGCCGAATTCAGGGCCAGCAGGTGAGCCACTGCCAGATGCACATCACCGAGGGATCCTCTTCCGAGGGTGATCTGATCAGCATGCCAGTGGTAAGGCCGAAGCAACAGGAACCACACCTTCAACTATGCTGCCAGCAGCTCCGGAACGTGGAGGAGGAGTGCCAGTGTGAGGCGATCAACGAGGCTTTTGAAGAAGCACAAAAGAAGCAGCAGCAGCAGCAGCAACAAGGTGGACGACGTGGAGGGCAAGGACAGCAAGGTAGAGGACAGTTGGTGCAACAAATGTTGAGGAGGGCTGAGCAGATACCCGATCAATGCAACTTGCAAATCCAGCAGTGCCGAATCCAGCAGGGCCGATGGTTCTAAGTTCATGTATAAGATGAATGTATCAAGAAATAATGATTGGCATTTCTAGCCATTTGGCTTGTTTTGCTTTGTGAGTTCCTTGTAAGTCGTAATAAAATCCTAAATCCTTGAAGGAAGTTTCTTCTGTACTAAAATGGGTGAAGACTGAATCCAGAATATTAGATTATTCACCAGATTTAAACTTTTAATTATCTGACAAATATTATTAATATTTACTACTAGAAAATAATGATTTTACCCACGAAAATTCCGTAGTTAATAACGGAAGAAATACTTACGGATACCTATTGAATAGGAGTAAAGAAATTGTGACACAATAAAGAAATTGTGACACAATAAATAGCTAGCAAAGGAATCAAAAGGAATCAAAATCCGTAGGTAATTACTTACAGAATAACTATCATCAACTATCATCAGATTAGCTACAAAATTGCTTTGAAATACCTACAAATGAAATACAAATGTTCTAAACAGTTTGTTCATATGACCGAATTAGCTACAAAATTGCTTTGAAATACCTGAAATACAAATGTTCTAAACAGTTTGTTCATATGACCGAATTAGCTACAAAATTGCTTTGAAATACCTACAAATGAAATACAAATGTTCTAAACAGTTTGTTCATATGACCGAATAAATACCGGAAACAAATCCGTAGGTTCGTCAGATTACTTACAAAATTGCAACGAAATACTAAGGTTCTAGAAAGTTTTCATGACCAAGACTTGTACTTGCCAAAGTCTTAAGTCGCATATAAAAATGAATAATAATATAAAAAATATATAATTATTAATTATACACAAAATTGTTATATTAAGTTACGCTTACAAACAACATGACTCTTAAATGTTTAAGGTTTGACATTACCGTCAAGTCATGCTTAAGGTGATTTACAACCTTGCGAAATATAGACTGGTATTATATAGTTTTAGATTGCTTGATTTGACGCTATTGGCGCAACTCTCGTATGAATCTAACCGTTGTAGTGTTTTTCAGTCGACAGACTGTTAGATTTTAAAGCCATGTAATCGTATTTATCCGATAATTAGTTAATATTGGTAAACGTTCTTCTTCAAATTATAGTTCAAATATAGTAGGGTGAATTGGAAAGGTATCCTAGAAAGAGTCTAGGAAGTTTAATATATGCTTGGCATGATATATATTCTTAAAGTAGGGAACAGTAAAAATTCAAAGTCCTGGTAGGAGTCTAGGAAAACCTATTGTATCTGCACATGGTACACATACATATATGTTTAACGGTAATCGGGTGTAGTATTGGAAATGACTTGGAAACTGCGAGACACTTTTTGGGACAAGTATGAGTAGATGTGAAAAGTACTAGAGGCCTATACTACCCGAAGCACATGACTCACACTTAGATCATGAAAAGTCACGAAGTAACTAAGGTACTAGTAGTTAGGTAAATAGTGTGGCTAATACTATGATTTCATTTCGACTTATTCAGTTATTACCTTTCGTATGGTGATGTCTAGGAGAGTGAATCTAAGTTTGGGCCCAAGTGATTATAAAAGATTGAGTCAAAATAAAATAGAATTGTGTAAGAGAGTTGGTTCTGAGATCCTCTTCCGATATAGTACCCACTTTAGCCACACATATTTAAGAAGGAAGTGATCAAGATGACCGACAAAAGGATTACAGTCTTCATTGGGGCTAAACAACTAATAGCCATAATTGCTACTTAACATAATTTGGTTGTGGCACATTAGAACACGAAGGAAGGTACCTTCTATGCTAAATGTTTAACTAATATAAACAAAAGTCTAGTTTATTATAAATCCTTTGCGTCATACACTTGGAAGTCGTAAGAATATTCAACCAATTGTTGTAACATGGTTGTAGCATCCGAACTTTCAGGTATATCATTGCGTGTTTAATTTTTGAGGTTTATGGAGTGACTCGACGAGTTGTGAGTCCAACTTGTCGAGTAGAGTCGAGTTGTCCATGTGGCTTTAATAAATGGACTCAACGAGTTAGAGGGCCGACTCGCTGAGTAGGTGCTGGGTAGAGAAACCCTAATTTTCCGGGGTTGTGTCCTATTAAAAGGTCCTTAAGCCCTCATTTCCACCTCCTTTATCTCCAGCGAGCCCTGTGGAAAACCCTAGATCAGTTCCATCCATTTGAGAGAGAGAGAGAGAGAGAGAGAGAGAGAGGCTAATTTAGGTGTTCTTGTGCAACTTTGGGAGGGGATTTGGAGAGCATTTTGGCTTGGATCAAGAGAAGAATTTTGGATCCAGAGATTCTTCAGAGTTTTTGTAACACCGAAAAATTTTAAATTTATTTTATTCATTTTTATTTCATAAAAATGCACATTATTCCATATAAACACTTTTTTTTATTCAAAAATCATCAACAAGGTTTTCAGAACATTATGAAATTCCAGGATCTGTATTCATCACTTTTTTCTCTTGTGTGTGTACAATCGAGCCGTCGCCTTCCCGCGAATCTGAAGAACCTGAAACACATAACACATAACACATAACACGGTAAGCACAAAGCTTAGTGAGTTCCCCAAAATACCACATTTAACACATACGCCACTCAAGGCTACAAAATGACCCTCCGTTCGGTGTGTCTCAGCGGAACCCTCCAGTTCCGTATCGTTGGACCCTCCGGTCCGGTCTGTATCATTGGACCCTCCGGTCCGGTCTATATCGTTGGACCCTATGGTCCGGTCTATAAACTCCGGATAGCATAAATCACAAAGACATGATGCATAGCATATCACATATAACATAATACTCAATGTAAGCACATAAGACCCTCCGGTCACATATGACTACCACTAAAGGTAACGTATAGTGAGGAGACTCACCTGCTACTGCCGACTGAAGAACAAGATCATGCTGCTCCGACCATCGTCACGAACTCCACCACTGAATTAGCGAAACCAATAAATACCAATAACAACCAAAATACCCCTGGAAGTCAACTGGTCAACTCTTGGTCAAAGCCAACCCTCCTGACTGACTCTACTCGCCGAGTCAACCCGCTGACTCGTCGAGTCCCCATTCTCTGAAACTCCCATAACACGACTCAACTCGCCGAGTCGCCCCAAGACTCGCCAAGTCCCACAACTCTGAGTCAAACCGTACTCAACTCACTGAGTCATCCCTTGACTCACCGATTCTCAGCTTAACTAGAAAAGGTTTGAGGTTCTGCGACCAGACTCGCCGAGTCCAAGAACAGACTCGCCGAGTCCAAGGCTATCTTCAACCAACTCGCCGAGTTTTTGCCTATCTTAATGCAACTCGCCGAGTGCACCCATGTGACTCGCCGAGTACTACTAGCTCTTAACCCATACAAAGGCTTTCCAAGCCATGCAGGGTTTCCAATCCATAGATGTACTCTTATATAAGCCACCATCACATAAAGTGGCAAACTTTACGTGAATCCAAGGAGATCTAAGCATAATACACTCTTGGGCTAAGGTTTGGGGCTAAAAGACTTCATCAACAGCTCTTGAACAGGGACTTTATGCTCTTTTGGATCATCACTACTCTAGATCTGAGGTAGTAACCTCATATCTAACCTCCAAACTCAAGATAGCACTAGATATACACCCAAAAATCCCAAAAATGATAGATTTAGATGGATAACAGCTCAAGCAACGAATGATTACCTCAAAAGAAGGCTCGAACAGAAGAATAAGTCAAAACCTTGAAAAGCCCCTTGCTCCAAGCCTCTTAATCTTCAAAGATCTCTTCAACAAACACTCCTTCAAGATCCAAATGCTCTCTAATTCTCTCTCAATGAATATTAGGGTTTCTGGACTTCAGGGGAGAGCAAAGAGGCCGGGGAGAGGGTATTATGTTCTTTATATAGGACCTAATCCCTAGGATTAGGGTTTTCTCCACACAGCACCAACTCGCCGAGTCCAGCCACCGACTCACCGAGTTGGATACTAGACACGCGACCAGAATCGTGACCCTACTCGCCGAGTCTACCCATGGACTCACCGAGTTGACCATTCACATTTTTTACTTTGAACCTTGAACTTTGCACCCATGAACTCGGGATGTTACAGTTTTGCTACAAGTTGGAGGTAAAAGATGCTAGCTTGATTATTTCCTTATGATATTTTGTTTTAGGGAACTTTTAGGGATTTATTCCATTTATCTTGTGTCATGGAGTGATTTGTGTAAGGATTGAGGTTAGAACCTTAGATCTGGACTATGAGTGGCCTTGTGAGTCTAGGGACCCGAGCTTTATTGAGCTAGAAGCAAGCTCTTGTGCATTTAGCCCTTGTTGGAGCATGTTTTGGCATTATGAGCCTTAAATGGCATGCATGAATGTAAATCTTGCAGCTTTACGTGCTATTCGAGTGTTAGGAGGTTAGATCTGGAGTGTGAGGTTATAGATCTGCTTAGAAACATCTAAATGAGTATTAAGTTTTTATGAACTCGCCGAGTCCATGAGCTGACTCGACGAGTTGGTTTGGGTCTGTCCCTATATTCACGGCCAAGCGATAACTCATCGAGTTGGGGGTCAACTCGACGAGCTGAGTGGAACCTTCTTGAGACTTCTAAGGATACGATTGGACTCGACGAGTTACATGAGTACACTCGATGAGTCGCGTCAAACAAGGACTGTTGACTCAAGTTTGACTTTTGTTGACTTTAGGGTTTAGGCATAAATGAGTAATGGAGATCATGGACGGGTAAAATGGTGTTTTACCCATTTCAAGAGTTAGAGAGAGAGAGAGAGAGAGACAGACAGACAAACAAAGAGAGAGAGAGAGAGAGAGAGAGAGAAAGAGAAAGAGAAAGAGTAACCCTTGGTTTACTTAGAGTTGAGAATTCGAGTGTTGATTAGAGATAATTACCTTATGTGTTAGGCGGTGGCTGGTTCGAGATACGAGTTCGAGGATAATTTCTTGCAGCTAGCAAGGTGAGTCTTCTCACTATACTTTACCTAGAGTGGTACTTGTGTATGACCGGAGGGTCTTATGTGCTTACATTGAGTATTATGTTATCCTGCTT